CCTGGTCTAACCTCACTAGGCAAAAAATCTATACTTTACAGTATTCTTCTTAAGTATTTATTTCTCTTCAGTTGAGCAGAAAAGAAGATAGGAAGATCTCAGAGGGAAATCATGAAGTTATGTAGTGTTAGATGGAAAAATGAACTAAAATCAGGAAATGCAGAGAGAAGATATAACTTTGCAATGCAACCTTTTAATTGGAGAGCTGCCTCAGAATTACTGACAAAGAAATTAACACAGAAAAAAGTTACCAAGTGTATCACTCTTACATACAAGCACAAAGGGAAGCTCTTACTAGTTGTATCTCTTTCTCCATCTCTTTGTGCTGCTCAAGGTGAGCCAATGCTGTTTTTTCTAAGGCAGAAGTTACTTGCTCATGTTCTTCACTGATAGCTGTTTCCAACTCATGAATGCATCTGTTTTTTTCCTGGGAAACAGCAGCAACAAAAAGGACTTAATAGAAATACTCAGTTGTATTATTAAATAGTGTTTTGATGATTGAGTTGCTAGATTTCATAAAAGAACAAGACAGAAAATAATGAAGTTATACACAGCATGTTTTGTCTCTAAGGATGTCACACCTATAACATAGTTAGAGAATGCCACTAAATGCAGCTACTACATAGCGACAAGGTGTCTGCCAAGGTGGACAGCTGGCACAGATTATAACAACTGGAACAAGGAACTTCTGACAAAGGCAAAAAGCAATTCTAAGTTCACATCAATAGATGGAATCTTTAAAATACAGGTTTCCATTTCAAAGGACCAAATAAATAGTTTCATTTTCTAGCAACCTTAGACCTCTTCTCAAAACTAAAGAGTTTGTATAACAATACCCGGACAAGAATTACAGTGCTCCAAGTGTTAGATCATCTTCCTCACTTATTACCATTTAGAAGACCTTCATTCACAGGTCTACATACATTTCACTGGAACAAATGGCAATGCTATAATAATAGGACCACATTTTCATTGAACATACCATAACAAGGAACAAGTAACATGTCCATTAATAGCTTACCATGTTCAAAAGCAGGGAAAAAGGGATGTTTTATTTGAAGCAAGATTCAGTTTTAAACTGAAATCTTGCATTGTCTAAAAACTGCACAGATTGTTTAGTAGATCTGAAAGTCTACCCATTTTGAATACATGGAATAATACTGTTTTAACTTAAACTTTAACCTCCATTTATATCTTTTTACGTAAATGTAGTTTCTCACTGAGAACATTTTACCATGAGTTCCTGTTCCAACTCAGTATTTCTTGTTGCAGCAGTGGAGTAAGCAATAGTTTTTTCTTCCAACTGTTTCTCAAGTGCAGAAAGTTGAGAAGATTTCTTTGTTATCTGAAATGAAATATGGCACAAAACAGCATGAAGACAACTGTTTATTCAAGTATTTGTGTATACTTTCTTATTTGTATATACTTTCATCAATTCCTTTTTAGCTACGACTGTTTCCTAGTATTATTAATTATTTATTTATTTGGGGTGTGGGTTTTTTTTGTATGATCTATTAAGCTTTACTACTTACAGAGAAGAATTCAGAATAAATTTATCCGATTAATTATAATTGTCAGTGCCATATGAACGATTTAGCTATTACAGATTTATAACATATATGGCCATTATTAGGAAACATTGCAAATCCCATTATGCTGGAATTCTGTAAACACATTAGCACCAGAATGTAAACATTAGCATTTTAACTTACTCAACCAGAGAAGAGCTAGCTAAAGCTTCATTTCTTTCTTTTGTGACTCTACAGTAATGATGTCAATCTCTGGCAACTGTACTAACATTTAATGAAGAAAAATACAACTGTTTCTTCATCTTAAGATTACACATTAATTCAATCATATGAAAGCAACAAGACTGTGCATATTTTCCATATAACGAATCAAAACAGTAGTGGTAAAGCTCACTAACTACATCAGCTTTAAAAGAAGTTTTCTGACAAGTAACAACTTAAGGCTGCTATCTAAGTTTTTCTGCTTGTTCAGAAGTTTACTTGCAATTTTTCTTAAATAAGCCAGATTTTAAAATTAATATGGCAACTGCAGTTTTTTCATAACTACTGTCTTAATTACCTTTGATTACTGAGCTAATTGAAAAGTGACGTATTTTTTCAGTGCTGCTAAAAAAACTTACTTCTTTCTCTAAGCTACTAGCTTTTGAAGCCTTCTTCAATAGGTCTTCCTGCATGACTTGAAAATGACTGGCTCTCTGAGCCATGCTGGTCTTCAAAGAAGAATTCTCATCATCTGCTTTTGTCAGTTTAGTGCGTAATTCTTCTATCTCTTTCTGGAATCTTTGTCTCTCCTTTTCAAATTGTTTGCTGATAAGTTCCAACTGTTGACATTTTCTCCTCTCTCAAAGTAGAAAAAATAAATGTAAGGTTAATTTACAAACCAGCACTCAAACAAATAATCATACAAACCAAAGAGAAATGTAATTTCATGACAGCACATTCAACTAACACATACAGTATCCAGAAACAAAACTGTTTATTTTTCCCCATAACATAAGTTAAAGCTGTGGCTTGTGAAAACAAACAAAAAAAACCAAATAAACAAAAAAATACCAAGAAACACCCCCAAAATATTGAAGAAAGTGTAATTATATAGGTGCTCTGAAGTAATTTCATGGAGCAGTCCTAATATTAATCGCAGAATCAACTGCAAAAATTCTGCAACAGCAGGATACAGAGAAAAGAATCAGAGAAAATACGGAGACCTCAGCATAGCCTGCATAAAGGAAAAATACGTGGGTTTCTTACAACACAACTCACAGCTTGGATATTGCTGAACAAGTAACTTGACTAGCAAAAGAAAGAAGAATATTGTGCCTGGAGAACATGACAATTTCCAGAATTCCAAGGTGGCAAAATACTCCCTGTTCAACCAAACCATATTTGTCAGCTCACAGAGATATATTAAAAAAAAAAAAACACTATACAAACTATGTAAATCCCACCAAAAAATTCCTGTTCTGTGGATTAATCAGACAGAACTGCACAGCTACTCCTGTAAGCTTACCTTGACTTCTGAGCAATTTGACAGGCTCTGTTTCCAGGTCACATAACGTGCTATTTTCTTGTCCTTTATTATCATTAGAAAGATGCTCAGCTCCAGTACAGACAGTTACATTTGCACAAGGCTTCTGAACTTCTGCTTCTTTCATTGCCAGTTTAATGCTATTATAAAAGAGGAGAAAATTATCTAACATCCTTCATACCTGCTGGTTCTAATACCACCTTATTTTCTGCCTACTCTTGCCATAATTCCATAACCAGAAAGTAATACCTTTGGTCTGCAATCAGAGGTTTATTCAATTCACAAGATTCAGAGAGAGCTTCTTTTGTTGAGGAGCTGGATAGCTGGTGTTTCCAGTGGTGCCATTTAAACTAAAAGTTAAGGGAAAACCAAGTTCAATGCAAAACCGACTATTGCTTCGCAGCACGATTAATTCTTATGCTACACACATAACCTAAACAAATTTTTTTTATACAAAATACATTTTTATACAAAATTACTTTATTCTTTTCAGCAGAGTTCACTTTGGCAATTCCAAAAATCGTACAGAAAGCATATTTTGATTTTGGTTTCATTACACCTACTCACATTTATACTTCAAAATAAAGACATCTGGTGCAACGTGTAATCCTCACCCCATACACCTCTCTAGCCCTTCCTGACTTCCCAAACAGTCCCTCCAGTAACCCCAGTCAGGTCACAACTTTGGGTTTTTTACATGACTCTCCCAATCAGTCAGTTTAATGATAAACTTCAGGCTCATGAGCCAGAGTTCATCCTGGTAAAACAAGTTCATTTGCAGCCAGGGATGGTGTGCCTTCTATTTCACAGCAAAAAAAAAGTTCCTACAAACATCTCTCCTGCTCTGATTTCTCCATTGCTGAGGTTGACACAATATGTCTGCCTTATGGTAAATGTTCCACTGAGAAGAACCTCAGTGGAACATGATAATTAGGTATGTATATTCTCTAAGACATCATCGTGTCTTAGAGATTATACGTACATCTGAAGAATCAATACACAGAACAGGGAAATGGAAAGTGTAATTTTAAATGCTTAATCAATTCCAAAGCACCTATTCCTTGTTCTTGAATGAGAAGACAAAACTATTTCAATTAAGAAAACATGTCATCCACGCATCCTAAAGCAAAGATATTTCAGGCAAATGATTTCTCAAGAACGTCACAGGATTTGCATGCAATGTCAGTGAGAACTGTTTAAGACACCTAATAGGATTTCTAAGGATGTATCAGTTACTGTACCTCTTCAGGTGTACTTAGAGACAACTGGGAAATAATGGTTTCTAGTATGTGGAGCTCTTCCCTTGAATCTTCAATTTCTTGATGGCATAATTTCAAGCGGTTACGCTGCTGTGCAGTAAGTGCTCTCAGCTCTGTGTTTTCACTTATTAGAACATTTTTCTCTTGAAGTACTATTTCTTTTTCATGAAGTTCACTCTCAAGCTCCATGATCTTCTGATCAGATCGAGCCAGCATTGACACCATTTCAGTGTTCTTTGCCTCAAGAGTCTTAATTTCTTCTTTTGTGCTATGATTCTCTTCCTTTAATTGCCTAAAGAAGTATATCCATTTAAAAGGTATAGCTCAACACAGAGGATTTTCATTATTAAAAGTACTAGAAGACGACAACATAACTGTACTGTTTAACTAGTTTCCTTCCTCTCAAAATCTAGGATTAGCTCTATATAACAGACCAAAGAGTTTTCACTGCTGTACTGAGATTTCACTGTTCCTAAGGACCAAGATGCGAACTGCTATCAGCAAACAAAAAGAGGGAATAAATTAGTTCTCATTCTTAAGCAATTTAATAAAGGGTTAAGCACTATCAGGAGAGTCACTGGTAGGAAATAGATCAAGGTGACTTTAACTGTGCTGAAGCCAAGGAAATTTAAGAACAGGATAAAATAACTATGTAATGATACCTAAAATCAGAATGGATGAAGACAATGTACTAAGACTTAGCTAGTCTAGCATTCTGCTACTAACAAGACAGGGAAGGGTCCTATTTTTCCTCTCACCTATCTGACTGTACTGTGAGCCAATTGTACTTTTAGCCCACCACAAATCATTTACATTTTTAGGTACCTCCTGATTTAGCAAACTGAATTAGCTCAAAGGTCTTGATGAGTGCCAAACCCAATGCAAGTTAGTGGCGATAACATAGCAGCCTACAGGAAGATCCCTATCACAGCAGAGAGCTATTAAACAGGCTCAAGCTAGTGGAAGGGTGCTCCCACACTGCCCACCCTTGCCAAAATGGCCTACAGAACAATTGTTAAGACAGAACTGTGAGTGTGGATAGTGCATGTGAATGGGATGCCTGAAACTGTCCAAGAAAGTGTTTGTCCAAACCTAGTAATTCTAAAGACAACCAGCTGATGGGTTTAAGGATTTTGAGAAAATAATTTAGAAATTTGTAAGTATATGCTAACATTTTTTACCTTTTTAGTATTATGATTTGTCTGTTGTATTGCTGATACTAAGCGTTCACTGACGCTGGTCCTGATTTCACTCGAACTACACAAATTGAGCAGCACATTCACAGTGAGAGTTGTAACGTGCAATTTCTTCTCAAATCACTGTACAGAGATTTTTAAAAGCCTTTGCATTACCTCAATTGCTCTTCTAGGATGTCAAGGTCCTTTCTGTAGCTGACACACTTTTCATTCAACTTCTCTTTTTCTTTTTCACAACTAATCAAACGTTTTCCCAAGATTACTTCTTCAGCTTTAACCTTAAAAAGCAATATTTTTTGTTACTGTACAACAATAATCTAAGCTTCTATGGCCAACAGCATTTTCTTACATGAATACTATAAACATTATGCTGTGAGGGTTTTTATTTGTCTTATTTCTTTCTTTCTGGTAAGCCTGTAGATAATTCTGTTGCTCACTGTTGTGAAGAAAAGGAGAGGAACACAAAGTTGGTTTTTTCTGCAATTCGGGAAAAAAGTAATGTTATTTTGGTTTAATATTTTAGGGCATATTTGTGTTTGGCAAAGATTTTTTCCACACTCCACAGGGAAACAAGTCTAATCAAATAAAAGTTCTCTGTAAAAGCCAAGTCTCAGGCCTGGTTTTTTTCTCTTCCCACAAGACCAGAACCAATAACAATTTTGACCACAGGAACTTTGGGAGATTACTTCATTTTCATCTTCTCTCTTCTGTATCTCATGTTTCATTGAACAGCTTATACAGATGGAATCAAAAGAACTCTTTCAAAAGGATCATATACTTTTAAAATGTAAATTTCCCAGCAGGCAAGCAGGAGACAGAAGAAACATCCACGGTATTAGAATACCTCAAAGATGCAGACAATCCAGACTGTGAGAAGATAGTTTAAAACTGAGTAACTGAGGTAATCACCACAAACAGTTGTTTACCCTGTCCCACCTCTCTTAGGACTCTGCCACCAACAAGCAGAAACAACTGACCCACTGGTGAACCTGTTGCTGTTTGCTGCCTAGCTTACTGGAAGAAGCAAAAGCCTAATAGCATGGCAAAAACAAGTGAAGAATGAACTCTTACCTTTTCTAATTTTCCAGTTACTTTCTCTTTATACTTTTTGAAAGCTCTTGTCAGCTCCTCCACACCCAGCAAAGCTTCATTTCTTTGCTGTTCTGCCCTGCAAAGCAGCATACCAATTTTAAAAATCACAAAGTTCAGTCATTATGTAACTCTCCTCCAGATACTAAAAACAACTACTGAAGTAATTGCTCCAGGTAATTTCCGTTCTTCTTCCAACTTTCCAAGCCCTAGATTAAAAACTTTTCACATCAGGCATAAAATAATTTTAAATATAATTTTGACATATTAACGTAAGCAAAATTCCAGTAAAACTAAGAATGTTAAAATTGACTCCTCTTCAAAAAGAGTTTGATTCAAATCATCCACCTGTCCCTGTCAGTAAAAGCCTGTTTTAGGGACTGGATTAGCGTGCGTGATAAGGAAGCAGAAGACAGTAGTGCTCCTTAAAATTCAAACTGTTTAAGGGGAACTGCAAAAGATTTTGATGGATTCATGATGGAATTACAGTAAGAATGACAGGAACTGATCAAAGGACAAATTTGGAGGATATTGGAGAGATGGCATCAATAATAGTAAAGGAAGCTGAGACTGGGATGATACCAGGTGAGCAACTGTTTAAAGGAGAAACCCAGACTTTATTTTGTTTTATTACACTGTGCTCCTGCCCCTTTCTTACTTTCCCCTCTTGTTATTCCCTAGGGAAGTTGGAACAGAAACCTTGTGACAGGTCAGGCATGCAGCCTGTTCAGGTCACCTAATGCAGGCACATAAGAATTACCACTGCTCAATAGCATTTGTTTCTCTTCCACTAAGGGCAGTGCGAGGACAGGACAAGTGCCTCCTCTCAGTACAGCCCACCCTCGGATCACTGTTTCTCTGTCTGAAGACCACTGCCCATTTGGACATGGCAAAACTATTCAGAGTAGGGGATAAAAGATATCAGAATAACAAACAAAACAGTGTAAGTCTAAAGCACATCAGTTTGCTTGGCCAAAGAACAGTAAGTGGTTGTAATCACTGATTAAAAAAAAGCAGCCTGTAATAATTTTTAACACTAACCATAACACTATGTTGCCTTTAAAACCTGGCAGAAGCTTAGTTTTTCTATTTACATCTGCAACTATTAACTAAGTACAGCTAGTTCCAACTTCACATGCTCTGAATGAACAGTGAACATCAATAAAAGCACTTCTTCACCAGTAGCACAGTATTTCCATTTATCTCCATTCCTCCAACAGGAAGGTTAGAGGTAATTTCATGTAGGTAGACAAGCCAAACAAAGGGTTAGCATTCAAAAGGCTGAGGAAATGCTTTGTTAAGGCATTAATTCAGGGGTTTTTTTGTCCCAGGTAATACAGTTAAATGAATTGGTCAGGCAGGAGTCTTGTTATTTATTCCTCTAATTTCTTTAAAATAACATTTTAGAGGGGATAGGATTGTATATGGTAACTTCCAACAGTTAAAAGAAATTGCCTAACCCTCTAGTAGCCACACAACTGCTAGGCTAGAGGAAGCAATGGGAAAGGGAAATAGGGATTGGGATGGAATTACAGCACCCTTTTCAACAGTACCATACAGACAGGTAAGATTAAGGATAACATAAAAATGTTCTCTTGATTAAGTTGTGCTTCTATCACTTTCCTCATATCAACCCCAAAAATATGCAACTCAGAACTGTTGCATACTGAGTTCTGAGCACACACTGTAGTTTCTTGCAAGACAAAATCAAAAGTAATTCAGGAAAAACATATTGTGGACATATTTCAGCTCTCCACTACAGTGTGTCTATTCTGAAAGGGAAAAACAGGTGACAAACTGGTTAGTGGCGTACAACAGCCTGCAACTACCAGCAAACTTCAAGATTTAAACAGTGCCCAGATAGTAAGTATATTCACACAGATTGTCCCCTTTTTTAAAAAACCCCAACATGGAATCATTGAATCACAGAATATCTCAAGTTGATCCATAAGGATCATCAAGTCCAACTCCCTGCTCCTTGCAGGATTACCATTAAGCTCAGCAGTGACCATTAAGAAAAGCTGTGTAATAGCAGAATGAATACCTGGTATTAAATTGCACGAATATCTGGTATTAAACTGTGGAGCTAATTTGCAACTTTTTTGTTATGTATCTCAAAAAATTTGAATATTTTACCTTTATATGTGATTCTGGGGGGGTTTCAAGCCCTCTGAGACACTTCTGAGTGTCGCGGGACACGTACCAACGGTAAGAGGGAATACTTTCCAGTGCTGGTTTTTAATTCTGTATATAACAAACACTTCTTTCTTTAGTATTTCTTTCAACTCCATTTTTGAAGTTTTGAAGACTACCTCATACAAGTAAGAACATCATCCAGATGGTCCTTGAACTCTTGACAGGCACAAAACATAACCACCCTGTCATTAAAAAAACCTATAATACTGTTTGACCTTATGGGATACTTTGCAAAGTTAACATAAATAAACTGAAATTCAGACTGTTGAGAAAATATAACGGAGAATTAGTTCCAATTTAGAACTATGAGCGTATGTTACACCCTGTTGACTTCATCTATCAGATAATCCTTTAGGGAATATAAAGAGTGTTACCATTTGTTTAGCACAGTAAATTTTTTTATGTTACCCTTGCAAATTACCATGTTATTTTCACTTAACTATCAGATGTAGTCTGATAGTGTAGGAAAGGTCTGTCCTTAAAGCAGAGAAATCATTTGATCCCACAAAGTAAACATCTACCAATGGAAATAAACATGCAATATTACTCCGTATTCAATTTATTAAAATTGCTTAGTTACCTCTTTCCTTGCTTGTTTTGTTCAATTAACTCCATTTTCAGGTTTTTATAGTCTTTTTTATATCTCTGCAACATGTTTCCTCTTTCCATTGCTGTTTTCTGGCTTTGATTTAGTTTATCTTCTGCATCTCTATCAAATAAACAAAGCACAATTAAAAGGACAGGAACATTTTTGTAGAGAAACTCACTTTTTATTGCTCTCTTCTGCACATGATGTTTGTAAAGCACTAGTCAAACACCCTGCAAGTCTTAAAACTAGGTTTGGAACATCCGTAGTCTCCAGATTCCCCACGAGTTATGTCTGTGTCTGGGGTGGTGTCCAAAGCTCATCAATAGGCACCAGGTGTCACAACTGCCAAGGATGCAGATGGCTGACTCCGTGTCATGAGATCTGAACACAGAAATCACCATTTTTCTTTCAAAATGAATGACTGGTCAGGATACACTCATGGGAAACAGCACTAAAATGTCAATTAAGTATTTTTACTTCTTTTGTGAAGACAGATGATTGAGATATTAATTATTATATAGCACGAGGTTGTAAGAAACTGACAGCCAGGTATGTCTTCCTGACAGCCTCTGGACACTGTTTACCTTTGTTTGGCCATTTGCCTCGATCAATACTTTCATGAAGAAAGAATCTTTTACTTTATGTGCTGCACAGTCATGTTTGAAAATATGTATGCTTGTTTACAACAGAAGATATGTAGTCATGTAGCATACAATCACTCTAGTCAGTTATAAGGGCACATTCGTGTTTAGCATACATTATAAACTGGTTTCTGTTAACAGCCTTTATTATTTTTTTCCTCCATTTGTTGAGGTACATTCAGTACAAAATAAAACAGCTCCCTCCTCCTAAATTTGGCTCTGAAATGAAAGTTTCAAGCCCTAGATTACAAGACCCACGCAGTACCAGTTATCATGATATCCCAAAGAAGAGACTGGGCTGGCAAGCAGACCACAGTAAAACAATGATTTAGAAGTACACTTATTACCTGAGAATTTTATCTTGAGCTGAAACTTCTGCTTCCAAGTTTACAATCTGTTCTTTCAGCTTTGGAATGCTGACTAAACGTGTACCTAAAGCTGATTCAAGATAAGAAATCTGAAACAGAAACATATTTGGCATTTAATTAACGCTTGTCTGTGTGTATGTGTATATATATATATATACACACACACACATACATCCATCTTCAGATGAGACACAGAAGAATAATCTGCTTATAGAATGATACAGTGCTCTTAACCTTACAGTAGAAGATGCTTGTTCATCTACAGGAACTGACCTTCAGTATTGCAATTAACACCCTTCTAGGTCCCTAGCATCACTGCAGTGTGGTACACTGTCTAGCAGACTCATTTCTTTATATGTTGAGCTTGTCTCTTGATTTTCCTCAAAAGTTTATATTCCACTATTTGTTTATATTCCACTATATACCAGACAGCCAAACATTTTATCTACTTATTTATCTACTTATTTATCTCCAGGGCTGAAAATAGTATTTCTGAAACAAACTGCATTAACCATAGCCATGTTCTATAAGCTGAATACAAGACTATAGTTGTCCTGAAAAAGCAAGTGTCTATTAAATCAGCAATGATTTATTAGATATAATATTTCCTTCTAACCCACCTTCACATTTTCAAAATAATAATATTAATCCAACCTGAAAGGTCAACATTTTTCACTTCCTAGACAAATGACTACTATGCCATTATTGTTCCCATTATTCTCCATGTAGCTCAGACATGTGAATGTACAGTGCTAAAAACATTATTAAGCTATTTTCTTACATAATGTATTCTTCATTCTGTGACTTACTGGCTTTAGATTAAACTTTGGAACACGAATAGGTAGAAGTCATAATATAGTTTGTTTGTTCACGGAGGAATAGGTTTCCAAACTATCCTGTTCCAAAATGAATGCTGAATATTATGAAAAAATAGAATATTAAAGTTTTAATCTATCTAATATTTAGACAGAACAAAAACCCAGCATGTTATGCTTGGAATGACATTCAAAAGTCATGGACACTGGAGCTTTTTGGGAAGTTTGGGGTTTGTTTTTCTTTTTTGATGAAGACACTGAAGATACATACTCTTGTTTTTGACTGCACCAATTCAAAGTTCATTGTTTCCACTCTGTTCATTAGGTAGTGGTTCTGAGAAGTCAAAGACGCATTTAGCTCATGAAGGGCATCCAGCTTCTCCTTAAGATGTTCATTTTCTTCCGTGGTTTTATGAGAAATTGTGGATACTGAGTAAGACTAGACATAACAAAAGGGTTTATATATATTTTTTTATATATATACTTTTTTATATATATACACACACACTTATGCATATGAAAGCAATATACACATCAATGAAAACTCTGCAGAACAAATGTATTTAAATATTATGTTTAAGAGAGCTCAGTTGATTGTCCAAGTGTTCTCTGTTGATACAATTGTCCAATGCTACACTGTACCAACTCCAAGCCCTGAAAGCAAAACAATTATCATAAACATAGTCAAGAACAGAAAACCAAAGTAATAAAAATAAGAAATGAAGTGCAATATTTACTTCAGATTTCCTTTGAAAGTCCTGGCAAGATGTTTTACCAGTATTCTTCTTACAGTTGGAGAAGCCTTGATAGTTGCAGTTAGGCTGAACAAGGTCCTCCAGAGTGAAGTCTACAGCCTCATCCAAGCAGGGGCCATAACGTTCACTTGTATGAGTGCTAAGAGTGAGAGTAAAAACTTGCTACACCATATATTTTCTTTATTATTTTAAATTGCTTATAAAGAGTTTTCAAAAGAAAAGCACAAAAGGAGCTACTTGTGATAATCCATTAAACTGAACAAGACAGATGTGCACCACAAGAGACGGGGTGTTCTCATTCCCAAATGCGCTCATACCTGGAAAGCTCTTCCTCTACGGTTTGTAGGCTCTTTTCAGTTCTCCTCAGCTGATTCCATAATGCCTGCAAATTTGCGAGGTCTTCAGCAGCAGCACTTTCAGAGTAAGTCCACATCGTACAATCCATCGGCGCCGCACGTACAACTGAAATAACATTTAATGTCAAAACATTGTTAAATATATGTGAATACTATTTGCAAAGTTACTTTTAGAGACACCTAAACAAGGCAAGTAGAAAGGAAAAAAAGGATGGAAAAAATACAAGGAAATACTGACTTAATGAATGTCACTGGTGACATTTCACACACCACCTCTCCCCACGCTCACCAGGTATGTGAGTTTGATATGCCCTCAGTGATATGGGTTAGTGGTGGTCTTGGCAGTGCTGGGGTAACGGTTGGACTTGATGATCTTAAAGGTCTTTTCCAACCTGCTTGATTCTAGGATTGTATTCTATATAAATTACTCCGCACAAATTGTCTTTTTTGAGAAAAAATGTTGTTTGTATTCATGAAATACAAGAAGCTTCATGATTTATGAAAACCAGAGAAGCCTACCGTACACTGGCTGTTAAAGATCCCTTGTACAACACACCTCAGTTACTTCAGAAGCACCATGCAGCTGGCGAGGTGCCTGAAAAGGTGACAGCGCATAGAATTACAGACTCGTTCAACAGTTTGGGCTGGAAGGGACCTTCAAAGCTCATCCAGTCCAACCCCCTGCAATGAGCAGGGCCATCAACTAGATCAGGCTGCCAGAACCACATCCAGCCTGGCCTTGGGTGCCTCCAGGGGTGGCACATAGACAAACCTTGCCTCGCCATTCAATAACCGGCGAGATTAATGAAGCTCAGAGCAGCGAGGACTTCACAGCACAGAGAACGCGAGCTGCTCAGTTGAGGGGGGGTCGGGACGCCACGTCAGCCCTCACCACAGAAAACATGACTTTGCAAACTGAGCTTGATATGGAAAACGGACTCAGGTGATGCACAGAAACCAGCGCTGGCCTTTTCCGGCAGCGCGGCG